ATAGAAGGGCTGCAATACAGCACAAAAAAAGCCTCCACGAAATATTACATTCAGAGAACTTCATGGCTTTGAATCAATGGTACTTTAAGAGGAAGGGTTGGTCAGATTTGATATTGAAAACGATGCAATACGGAAAACGCAATGTTTCATCCAATTGAGCACGAATTGCCTTCGGAAATCCAGAAAAGGGGTTCAAATAAGGGACCAAGACACCTTAGCGACATCACAGATCTGCGCTTTTTCTCCGCTGAACCGGCCAGATTCAAAGCCCTTTAAACAGAACTATACTATTATTGCCACTGATTGATACATGAATCCGAGGAGTGTGAGGGGCCCCAGTGATGTAAGTGGTGGGGCATTCACCGGGTAAACGTCAGATACGGGTTCAAGTCTCGACAGAGGTCAAGTATTTTGCCTACAACTCATCATTCTTTTGATAACTTTCCTAGCATGAATAGCGACGTTAAACAGCACTTATTACGATGAAGCAACTTCGAAATTACTGATTGATCTATTGTTCATTTTTAATAATTTTCAGAAAGACGCCTTGTTGCCTCGTGCATTTTTGTTACAATGTTACAAAAAATATTTGTTTTTGGAAAGTTACTGTAATTATATAATAACATTACCTCCATAGTAGTATTCATCGACGGTCTTTATCCATCCCAAATCGTCATGAGTATGTGGGACAAGATGTACGTTGATGATGCCCTCTTTATTGCTCCAGCGATTACATATCTGAAATCATCGATCGCTATACGTTATGAAAATGAGGGACATTTTTTTCACTTTATATTTTTTTCAAAAGGACATTCTATGCTGATCGCATGGATGACGTTATTCGTACCTCTGCACCTTTCTTATTGATAGTTTCCACCTTCTGTAATGGCAAAACAAAGGGCGCACCAATGAGAAAGACGCAGTTATTCGATTGAACACGCCCCTATCATCAGCGTGGAAAAGCCCTCGGAATGTGGAATTCTTTCAAACATCATTCAGAAGGGAAATGTTTCACAGAAACAGCTTATCAATTTCTACAGTATTTTGGTGCTTTGCATGTTCGTAGACCTACAGTGAGTGTTCAACGATTAAATTAGTGTAATGTTGTCGCCATTCTTACTGTACTGCATTGCCTTATTTTGCAGTGAAAAACCAAAAGTAACAGGAACTGGTATATAAGGTACGTATTGATCTAGGTCCTCCTTAAAACTTGGCGAAAACCTATCTATAAATTACTTGAGGCAGTAAATAGGTCCTACAAAATCACATTCTCTAGTGGTCTGCGGAGAAGCTTCAGTACTTCCTTTTTTCATGTAATTTCTACTAAACTGGACAAATCTACAACAACAACTTATGGAGTAAGTGTGCGGAATATGTTAAAAGGGGGTGTGGCAATCTGAGGCGGGGCATGGCTTGAGGACTAGTGAGTGCAGGGAGTGACGGGGATGCTTCTGCAAGAATTCGAATCGTTTCGCCAAAGATTCGGAAGAGGACTGGACAAGTTGATATAAGGGTATCACAGTGAAATTCTCAGCGCTCCGCAATGTACGGAAGCGGGAAAAAAACTTGGAACAAGTCCGATTTGCGCGTTTTATAATAGTTTTTCTTAAAATTTTCAAATTACACATGAAAACTTGGTTTGCTCAAATTGAGTACGCCTAAAGAAACTTTTCTAAAAACAGTTGGTTGGTCCAAGTCGTTATCCGGACAGAGTGCTGAAAAATGTGGTGGGAATGCACTCCTCTACCGCGCTGGTATTGGATCGTTTTTGAATGTTCCCAAGGCTCTGAGAAGAACATGGGACTCAGGAAAATTGTAAAAAAATAGAGGAAGAAGGAAGTCAACAAACAGACAAGTCCGATCCCCCTTTCCATTGGATATCTGGTACTAAGGCAGCGTTCAGACTTCGCGATGGCAGCGCTTGATCGCGCGTTCGACGCGATCGATGCAGTAGAAAGCATGCGCATCGATCGCGCCGAACGCGCGGCCGAAGCGCTGCCGTCGCGAAGTCTGAACGCTGCCTAACAAATGACAGCAGACTCGCCGCTTACACCGAAGGACATCCCAGCACTGTGATGGTAGCCAGAATGGTGGAGTATTACTGCATCTGAAAGCTTGGACAGAAGGCTTCCACCGCCCATGAATCACTCTTTTCACGATGCTGTTTGAGTTCCACTCCCATTTTGAGTCGCAGTAACCTGTGAATGTGAAAAACCTGTATGAATAGCGGTGGGTGGAAGGGCACAAACTGATCTAAGCCCTGCCTACTATGGGCGGGGCTATGTCCACTTTGTGTGTTCCGTACTTCTCGGTCCATGCCTAACCCACCCTTGACACGGCCCCTCAAAATGGCTCTTCAAGTGATGCCGAATTTTCGGCATGGACACACAGACAGATAGACAGACAGGCGGACAGGCAAAGAGACATACAGACCGATGTTGCCGTTCATATATAGTAGGATCTGAAGAATCTTCATTAGTTCCCGTTTCGCAGATCGTTTCGTCTGGCACACAGCATTTCTCGACACTTCCAGATGTGGTAGCAATCGAACCTGATGGTCGTCTCACATCGATACATTGTTCTGATTCCGACGAACGTAGCTTATATAGTGCCCAGCACCAGACGAGTCACCGATATGCGTCACAATAGCAAACAACGAGTAACTGAAGTACAGATCTCGAACGATTGAATTCCAGAGAACCGAGGTCTAACCCTTAGAATAGGAAGTTTGGGCTTTTATTAGGCTGAGAGTCTTGGAAATGGAGCAGTCACTAGACGTGTTGCATCTTGTTCTCATAGTGTGGCAAGCTCCTCACGCGTAACGGATGATCGAATTGAGAGAGTTCAAGTTCAGTCTTTTTCGTGTATTCAAGGGTACTGCTTAGTCTTGGTCGGCCAATACACGCGGAGTCCGTCGAGCCATCACTTTGTGGAGTCCGGATGAGGCAACACGAGATACATCATTGTCGAGATTTTGATCGTTAATTCCACACGACCCCACCCTCTTGTTTTGCAAGGGGTTGGCACGACCCTCCCCTGGTTCCCATCCTCATCGAAGCTGTTTGAGCGGGAGGGTGGGAGTGGAGGATATATAAGCAACGGGAACGGGAAAAACGGGCAAACGTGAAAACGGGAAGCCCGCGAGGAAAATACGGACCCCTCTCTATCCACTACACATTTTGGATTCCCCAACTCTTACCACGTATCCGGGATTCCCGAAAAATTATTCCTTTTCCCAAAATTCGGTGACAAGGTGGGGAAGCCCTTATATACACGTAAGACAGAGAAAACACGAAAAGTCAAGCCAAACCCTCCGAAAAGCCCAGAGGGGAAATACGACTCCCCCCCCAACAGCGAACAAATACTACACTCCCTTTATAACGTTCTGAAACAAGAAAAATCATCTATCAGAAATTTTTCTTGCAAAATACGACCCCCTTCTCCCAGCGACCCCCCCTCCCAACACCGGAAATACAACCCCCCCCCCCCCGGTTAGAGGTTCCCCACAACTGGGTCAGTGTCGTCGCTTCAGTCATGTCCAAGTGTCTCCTTCCATAAAAGCAGCCGGATGTACGCTGAACACATGGAGCACGAAACTTTTGTCCAGGTTGACTGGATACCCAGTCAGGTGAGGGCTGGTGGGGCTTGACTCAGTTGTACCGCTTGACAAACTGGCCCTCAACCACTCCTTATATTTCGATAGGGAGCAGGCACTGAAGCGCCGACGATTACTGCTAATTCAGGAATATATCAAATTCGACTTCGACGGGTGTTGATGCTTTTGGGCTCTCAGCTGTTCGATCTGCAACGCACGTTTTGTTTTCACAACTTCTGACTGTATACCTATAGTCTTTTTCGCTGCAGACGCGCGCTAAGGCGTCTTAGAGACTGGGTAATAGCGGGCCGCGCGATGATGATTCACTAATTGTTGAAGCGGGTAAGCGACAATGACTAACGGAAACTAGGCTTCCGCCGCACCGAATATAGCCACCCTGACACGCCCCAGCGTCTGCAGCGAATACGACTTATACTTTGCTCTCCAACATATCACTCGTTTTCGGTAATTGCCAGAGGTGGCAGAAAAAAGGTTTGAACAAAAATTGGACAAGAATCATGGGACAGCCCTATATTTTGTTGTCACTGCAGTAAGTCGGACTTTCCCTACTGAATTTCTGCTCGTGTGGTATCAAAAATGTGAGCCGACGCCGTAAAATCGGTGGTGACAATTGAAATATGATGGGTACTGTGGAATGAACTTTTTCCCGCTCTATTTTTATTAAGGGTGCACTTTTTGTCAAGATATCGGCATTACCTGTAATGTGGAACGTGGTCAGCAAGGATGAGCCTAAGCGGTCTATGATCCCTGCCCTATACAGGGGAGGGGGGGGCAAAAAAGGCACTTTTCTTCCTCGACTTTCAAGGCGATATAAGTTACACTTTATCAAATTCTGATTGGACATTTCCACCATCATATTCAACAGCACATTGTACACTATCACGAAACTCCGCCACAGCCTTCTGGACGAGCGCCATCGAGAGATTCTGCCACGCGACCGTGATTCGGTGCCTGAGTTCAGCGAGATCGTTGATTTCTCCGCCACTGTAGACCACCCTGTTGAGCTCCTCCGACCCGGTAATCGAAGGGGTTTGGTCAGGTGACACACTTGGATATTCCGTCTTCTTCAGGTTACTCA